TTTTCAGCACTTAGCATTTGCTATATTCTGAGCACTGTTCAAAAGCTATATAGACGGCTGGAGGGATGACTCCAAGGTTAAAGCATTTGCTGTAGCAAGTGTGACTACCAGGTGACCAGAGTGCAGCTCCCTAGCACCTATGTAAAAGCCAAGTAGATGTCATGGCCCACCTGTAATTCCAGCACTGGGGAAGTGGAGACAGGGTCCCTGGATCAAGGTGACCAGCTAGACTAGCTAAGGCTAGCTCTGGGCTCCAGTGAGAGACCCTGCCTCAATACATAAGATGGAGAACTAAGGAAGACGTAAGATGTTCATCTTTGGCTTCCACATATGCATGCACACATGTGCACACATACATGTAAACCTGCAATACACACCCAGTGCACACACATGTCCCCCAAAGGTACATCAAGTATTATGAAACCCTTTCAACAAGTGTATGAGGTGGGTACTGTTCTCTCTAGACAAACTGCGAGGTTAACTATCTAAAGTTGCCTTGCCATTAAGTGGCAAAGCAGGAACTTGATCCACATCAGACTCCAGCGTTTATGCTCTTTAACTTTAGAAAGCTAACACCTGTTTGTAAAGAGCTAGGGACTTTGGTTTTTTCCCTTGTGCTACAGAAAGAAGTTTGTACAGACTCTTGAGCACAAGACGACTTCATGGAGCTAGAAAGGTCTTACTCCTCCAGAGGCAGAGGCCACTCAAATGTATATTGAGTACCTTCTGTGTGCTCGGCACTGGTGAGAGCAAAGCAGAGCCCTGCGCTTATAAACATGAAGGGAGGCAGAGATGGAGACAGCTCACTTAGGTCCAGAGCCCTCTTCCCAGCCTATCTGTGATACCACATTGGTGAGCACGCTTGTGCCATGGAAACTGGCAAAGGCTACAAACCAAGGCCTGTTCCCAGAGAGGTGACTATTGGCTGTTTACCAGTACCACTCTGCCTTGGGTTGCTCGAGGGGGTCAGGACTCATTCTCCCTGGTGGAGCCAAGAAAATGGAGCCTACGTAGGGTGTTGAAGGATGAGCAGATGTTTGCTATGAAGACAAGGCAGGAAAGGGCAACCCAGACAGAAGCGTGAAATGGCATGGCACACTACATGTTTCTGGAAAGGAAACTGGATGTGAAGGAGCTTGGCAGCCTGGGAGTTATCAGTGTTTATTAAGAGAATCAATACAACCCTGGGGCTGAGAAGAGTAAGTCCCTTTTGTTTTTTAGCTGGATTGATCCCTAGAGGATTTCAAATGAGGTTCCACTGGGCCTTTACTCAGCTCTCAGTAAAAGGGAGTCTAGGCCTTGGTGGGGGATAGTGCTGGCCTAGGGAAGAGAATGGGCTGGAATATGCTAGGGCTGCTAGCTAACTGGAAAATGGTGACAAGGCTTTTGAAATGTCCTGGGTATTGGGGGCGGGGGCAAGGGTCAGATACTCGGGGCTGAGATTCACTGCCCATAAGGTCAGCTAGCAGTATCACTCTCAAAGCCTGTTTTGTCAAGTTTTGGGTCAGGTGGAGACCTGAGTGCTATGGGTACTCAGCAATCCTCTGGCTTCCACCAGCCAACTTCTCTCGGGGTCTCCTTTGGTTTCAGGGCCCCAGACTGGGTGAGTGTGTCAGCAGACTATCCCCACTGCTCTGCCTGTACTAGACTGTCCAAAGGTTCTCAAGGAGGCTGAGGGCACCGGGCTGTCTGGGCAGGAGCTTCCAGAGCCAGAACCTGCAAGGCCTATAAACTCACTTGGCCCCTCCCTTTGATGAGCTTGTTATCAAGGCTGTTTTTCTCTGGGAAATGATCATGGGACTTGTTTCCCTGCCAACCACTGCCAACAGCCCTGAGCCCCCTGGGTCCAGGCAGACACAGATGGCCAGTGTGAAGAGACTGCAGTCCAGAAAAGGGATGGGCAGTGCTCTGGCCACAAGCTGAGCTTGGATAAGCCCCTATTCATACAGGCTATTAGCAGTAATTCATAAAAGGAAGCTGAAATTGGAGTGAATAAATGCTATGATTCAGGTCATACAGTGGCTTACAAAACAGGGTTGGGTGGATACATTCTAGTCTGTACTGAGGTGGAGCACTGTGATGTGGGCGAGGGAAGACCATAACCACCCCTGTAAAGGGAGCATGGACCCAATGGCAGAATAGGGTCAGATGCTTGGCCCATCCTAAAAGAGGAAAGGGCTTTTGGTGGTTCTGAGGGTGTGAGGTCAGAGTGGAACTAAGGAGGCAGTCACTGCTGGCCTTCAAGCATGCAGGGACCCTGCTGGGGGCAGGCTTCACGTGGTGGTCATGGCAAGGTGCTTTGGGGTTCCCACAGGCACCCTTTCTAACCATGCTGCTGCATGTGTGGGACTGAGGTCAGAAACAGAGAGCTGGCAGCTGCCATGTCTGGAATTACAGGGATGAAGCCTTGGCAGGATAAAACTAAAACAAGTGTTGGTGGGTCCCTTAGGGAGTGAAAGGCTCAGAGCAGCCTGCTCTTCCTTGCTCCTGCTCCACACTCACTCACATCCACTGGAATGGCTCCTCCCATACTGCTCTGTGCCTCCTTCTCTTTCCCACACTTTTGCTAGGGAGATGGCTGAACTCACCTATCAGATGTGTGCCCAGCAACTGTGCTGAATGCTTCACCTGGCCCCATCACATCCCCATGCAGTGGCTGTGTGACAACACACCCCTGTTCTCAGCCACCTCCCCTGCCTATCCACAGTGCACTCCTTGTGAATTCTGTCAGTTGACTAACCCACACTCCACCATCCATAAAGCTCTTCTGGGAAGAGCTGTCATGTTCCCTAAGTTTCCACAGCACATGTATGAAGCGTCATTTTCCAGGCTGTCCTAGCCTTCAGGGTTTGTTAGCTACACTCTCCCTGCACAGGGGTGAACCATAACCACCCCCTGAAAGAGCATCAACTGAGCAGTGTGCCAGGACCAGCTGGGATTTCCAACTGGGAGGTGCCTGGTGTGGCACTGTTAACCCAAAGAGGCCACAAATCATAGAAGCTTGGTGACATGGCCAAAGTTACACAGCAAAGAATGGAGCCAGTTCAAACCCGAGTTTGACTGAAGACTGGAGATTTTCCCCTCTGGAAGGAGACACAAGAAGAATTATCATTTATCATTTATTCTCACATACATTATTTCATTTGATCCTCACAACAGTTCTGTGAGGTAGGTAGGGTTATTATGTATTACTATTATGCCCATTTCACAGATGAAGAAATGGAGGTGGCTCAGTGAGGCGAGTGACTTGCATCAAGTCACATAGTATGTTAGTGGCTTCACAGGTTGTGTACTTTCTCTAAGGTCAAGCTTCTTGAATTAGGAAGCACCGAAAAGATGGAGAAAGCAAAGTTTTACAGAGAGAGGAAAGGCCAGTGTGGATTTAGATTTCTTCCTTATTTTGCTATGGTCATAACTTCTGCTTCCTGGTCTTAACTGGGTTTTCTTTGAACCCAGAATACCCTGGTGTGGTGACCCAGGAAGGCCATGACCAAGAGACTCCTGGGTCCCATGGCAGGAAGGAAAGACCTTTATTGCCTAAAGGACCAGGTTTTGTCTGTAACTTTGCAAGCTACCCCTTCACAAGATAAAAACTATGGAAGCCCTTTGCTCTATCCTCCTTGTGTGGATACCTGTACCAGGCTTCTCTGGCAGTGTCTGGAGCTCCTCCCTAGAGGGGAAGACTCTGGGAAATCTCAAAACCATAGTCATTCCAGGGATGACTCACGATGTACAGCTTGGAGCCTGTCAGACTCTTCACCTGCTGGGAAGTCGTGGCTTGTGGTTTCTAGCTCTGAACGTATTCCAGGGAGGCCCACAGTTAGTTAGGACCAGACACTGTGACAGGGGAAAGCCTCATCTTTAAGAGAAGTGTGTTAGGGCTGGATACTTCCTCAAAGAACACTGTGATGGTCCGAAGTGCTCCTGTGCTCCTCGCTGCACACTGCCCTCCAAGACCCTGGATCTCCTCAGACAGTGATCTTCTTCCAACCAGAAATGGTCAGGAGCATACTGAGCCATGGTTGGTGGGGAAGGTAAAGTGGGGACCATGAAGAAGGCAAAGCCATATAAAGGGGGGTTGACTTACAAGGAGGGAAGGGAGCCAACTTTGGTTCTGAAGACAGATTGCAAAGGGGAATCTGAATTCTAACTAGTCACATCTTCAGAGTGTCTGGACCCCAAGGCGACTATTTTCAAAGCAAAGATACACATTCGTGTGAAAAGGAAGTTCTGAAAATAAGACCTAGCACACAGAAATGGCAGGAGAGACATGGGGTCAACACTGGGAGAACTTTCTAGCAGCCAGTCCTGTATAACCATGGCAGGAGCTGCCTTGGGGATAGTGAGCTTTCTGTTACCAGGGGTACACAGGCTGCCACAGGTGATCCCTTGGAGGTACTCAAGGAGAGGCACTCATCCCCAAATGTACTGGGGAGGGGGAAGAACTAAGAAACTACTGGATTATTTTCCAACCCTGAGAGTCCACATACTGGCTTAAACTGACCTGTTTCAGTGAAACTTCCAATTCATGGAGAAAGACTAAGAAGATCAAGCAACAGGCTGGATCATGAAGTGCCTTTCATTACTCTGGCACCAACACTTTCACATCTTTGCAGGGACAGCGGTTCATCTTAAATCCCTCAGTCTGGCTTCCTCAGAAGGGACAATCCTCTCCTCTGAACCGTGGACACTCACTCTTCTAGGCTATTGCCATAGCTCAACTTTCTCCCTGAGCAGAGGCCACAAAGAATTCTGGGAACACACAGCATTCCAAGCCACCCAAACAAAGGAGTCCCAGATCCTGGGCACATCCTCCAGAAGGAAAAGCAGGTGTGATGGGAACTGCTGCACACATTATGTCTCAGGAAACCGAAGGGAGTGTCTTCTCACCCCACTGCTCCGCTGCTGGGGCTCTTTGCAGAGGTGGCTAGGTGAGGCACTGGCTAATGGTATGGAGCTAGAGCCCATGAGAAGACTACTGCTCCCTTTTCCCGGCTAGAAAGTCTTCCTGTAGGCTCCTTTGTATGCATCAGCTGACTCTTCACTTGTCATAACGAACTGTCCATCTTGAGCTCAAAATGGCAAGAAAAAGGTGGTTCTGTGCAGAGGACATGTGGATTCCAAAAGGTGGGCTTCATCATGAGGGAATCAAGTCCTGCTATGCAATTAATACAGATTAGTATAGTTCCCTGCTTCCTGCCACTGGTGAGACGCTCTCCTCAAGGCCTTGGCTGACATAAGCTTCTTGGGAACCCCCACCCAATGTTGATGGGGTCTTTTTACCTGTACCGTATTAATCGAATGATCTTATTGTTCATAAAATCCAGAGCGTGTGGGTGAGAAGAGTCGATGCAGAAGCCATCACTCAGGGCGATTTTCAGTACCTCCTCCACAAAGACCTGAAAGCTGTTGATCTGTTTGTTGGCAGGTACCACCCATAGCCTCTTGAGGTTCTGCTTGGTGTACTCTTCCTCTGGCAGGCCCTCTACATTGGCCACCCAGTCCAGAGTTAGGTGGTTGGGGTCCTGCAAGTGGCTGGTGATGGAAGAGAGATTGCCATTGGAGCAGTAGAAGAGCTTAGAGCCCAGGAGTTTGAGGAAGAGACAGGATGTACTGAAGATGTTGGCGTTGAACACCTCCATGCTGGAAGATGACAGGCTGTAGATCTGGGGTGCCTCCCGTACCGTGAAGTGGACGGTCTGCACATGCTGCTTCAGTGTGATGTTCAGCATGGCATTCTTCTCTGCCTTGGAGAGCTCTATCTCCTTCTCCTGCAAGGCCTCGATCAGGGGCTGTACCTGGTAGAAGTCGGCTTCCCTGCGGAGCAGGCCCATCTCCTGGAAGTCCTCTGGCAGGTCCAGGTGGGAGGTCCGCAGGAAGTTGAGGATGTAGCGGAACACTTTGCCGTCCCGGTCAATAAAGCAGTTGCCCTGGCTGTCCTTCTTGGTGGGCATCTTCCCACTGAACATGGCACCCAGCATAGAGTCAGGGAAGCTGGTCAGGGTTGCCAGTGAGGTAGTGTAGAGCTTCCCCCCAACATTCAGTGTAATGGGGTCGGACATGGCAGGAGGCTGACGTGCTGGCAAAGAGTCCTAGATGGAAAATTGAGAAAGGACTATTATCCTACCATATCTGGGTAGTCACAGTCCTAACTATAGATCAAGCCTACAATGAGGTTGAATGTTTCACTGTGTAAAGCATATTAGAGTCATAGGAAATACAGACATTCATACACACATGCACACACAGTCTGTGTCCTACTATCCAGAGTCTATTTTAATTTTACAGAATATGATCCTGGGGTTTTTGAAAAGCTCTTTTAGTGATTCTAAATGTTCAGTGAAGCCAGAGCCACTGGTCTAACAGAAGAAAGGAAAATGTGCCTGGGCTGGAAGCTACCTGAATTCCTTTATATTTATTTGCGTATATAACAGTCCTATCTTTTGACTGAAAGATATGAAATGTCATCATCTCTCACTGTTGTGCAGATAAGGAAAAACAGGCTATGATGTATTCCTGGCTTTGGCAGGATTCAAACTCAAGTCCCATTTAATGAAAGAAAAATGTTTAAATGCTTACTAGCAAAAAAGACTGTTATTTTTTGAAGTACTTAAATGCTTTGAGATATGTAGCTCCAGGCTCAGTACTCTCGCTGTATAAGTGCTGCCTCTGAAGTGAATTATTTTTCTATTTCAATTTACAAATATCTGCAACTAGTGCCATGTCTGTCTCCCAGAACCCCATGGGTCACTCGGCTTCCTGCTTCCAAATGACAATCCTTTTTGGACTCCCCCTGGCTCTGTGCCCACCTTGCCATGAGGATGCTCATCTCGTTCCCCATCTCTGAAACTGACCGCAGAGCAGTGCAGTTTCCTGAAGCCTTGGATCCAAACATCTCTTTAAGACAGTAGATAGCATGAGATATACCCTCAACTTCTACAGCCACCTTGTGAAATGGATTCAGCAGTGTTATCCTAACAGTGGGGGCAGGGAAATCAAGAGAAATGAGCCCCAGTGCCACCTGCTGCTGGTGGTAGGGCAATGAAAAACCCTGAGAGCAGTCACAAAACAGATGCACTAAGAGCTGGGGGAAATGAATCCTGTCACAAGAAACACCTAGTTAAGCATACCTACTGCCCAGATGAGGAAACAGGTCCATGGGGGTAGGAGAGGGGGTGAGGTGGACTGCCCCAAAGTTATTTTGCAGAGGTATCAAGTACTTCTCTGTCTCTGCCATTTGAAGACGGTAACTACACTGAGACCCCCTTTCTCTCCAGAGGCTGGGTTGGGGAGAAGCTTAGCTGCCTTGTTTAACCCTGGCGAGTGTCCCTTTGAGTCATTCCAAGTCTAATGGGGCACTTTGATATTGTAGAAAATCACAAACCATCTGCAGTGTCTGAAGAGAAACCAGCCCACAATGCAGTTATAAAACTGTTGGCAGAAGTATGGGGCAGATGGACTGTGAGACAGTGGGGAGGTCCAATGGTGGGGGGGTGAGCCATGGAAGGGGCTGAGGCAGACTTTTGGAAGCAGCAGCTGGGAAGGGTGCTGGGGCTCACAGCTGAGTCTGGCAAAGACTAGACTCGAGTGGGTCACTCCTTATTCATTCTAGAATCTCCTTTCTCTCCCTCCTTTCCCATTCCAGGGACTCTAGTCTCCTCCACCTTCTTTTCCTTTTAGATAACAATTTGCATATTTTAGCTTTTCTTGAGAAATGTCACATAAACTCCCCACCTCCTAAAACGTGGGACTTCAGGCCTAGGCTTTGTGAAGTACCTCAGCCTCACAGGCTGAGGGGTCAGAGGGGTAGGTCTGTCTTTCCTGCCACAGACCCCATATCTTCTCCAGGTGTTAGTGCTGGGAGTGGGGACTAGGGTTGGCAAGCTGCAAAGCATTCCTGAAGATCTATGGGTGGCACCCAAACTCTTATTTCTCTGCTTGTAGAAAGCAGCAGACTATGACATCATGGCTCCTGGTCATTTGTCTGGGGAAAGCAAGAGTCTCAGTTGATAAGGACAGAGGCAGGCTGAGAAGGCAGGCCTCTTGTCCCTAATCCAGGATGCCCTCGATGGGCTTGCTCCATTCTTATGGAGTCACAGAGCACAATCTTCCAAGGCCCCATGTTCTAGTCATCAGTGTCCACCATTACAAACCCACTGGTCCTGGTAAAAAAGGCATTAGGGGACAGGAAAGGGCACCTCTGGAGGGCCAAGGAGCTGGGTGAGGTAGTGCAATGAGGTAGGGATGAACTAACCACTGTGCTGCAGTCCCCCATGTGCACCCAGCTGTCTCCTATTTCTACAGATATTCCCCAGGTATCAGAGCTCTGTAGAACTCCTCTGCTCCAGACCACTGACACTCTTCTCAGTTACCAGCTGCCTGCGACCAAGACCTGGTGGCAGCTCAGACTCCTCAGCACAACAATGTGTCTGACTCTATCGCCTTAAACCCATTACTGGAAGCACTGCAGGAGCCCGGGCCTCACCCCTGCTCCGTGTCTACACTCTACATCCTCCCTTGGCTCTGCCTTCGGCCTACTCTTATGGTCTGCAGACCAGATTCTCCTGCAGCACTCTTCTTTGTCCAAACCACCTTGCCTTCCAGTTTTACCCCAAACCTGCTTCTGCACACATTCTGGGCTCAGGCACTGCAGATACCTGTGTCACCCTCACAGTCACCTGTCTGCTTTGTTCTTATACCCTACCCTTTCCACTTTTTCTGTTGCCAAGTTTAAGGTCTAACCTAGGAGCAAGTGCCTCTGTGAGACTGTGCCCAAATCTCCCCTATGTTAAGCGCTCTCTTCTGATGGGTGTGGTGGAGTATACCTTTAATTCCAGCACTTGGGAGGCAGAGGCAGATGGATCTGTGTGAGATTGAAGCCAGCCTGGTCTACAACAGGCTTTTAACAAGTTATTTTTATATTATTATTATTTGGTCTTTTTTGAGACAGGGTCTCCCTGTAGCCCCAGCTGTCCTGGAACTCACT